GTTTTGTGTCTTTTGAAGTCAAGATCAAGAAGGTTGGAGGAAAAATCGAGTGAAAATTAACTGTAGAACCCAGAGCACAGTTTATGGTTAATACTCGCTGCTCAGGCAGAAAGTCTTATACAGATACACCAATAAAGTTACTATCAATAAAGTTCGTATACTATCTCGTCGTAGATAAATGCATCTCGAATATGGTAGAAGGACCATACTCTAAACACATACTAAAAACTGGAGTAGCTGTAAAATATCGACATCACACGATAGGGAAATAATGGATTTTAGTACTGCAGAAAAATAATGTCAAAAGGTACTGATTTAAAAAAATTAAGATTAAAGTTAATTAATCAACCTGTGAGGTATAATATTCGGTAAGTGTTATTATTAATAAAATAGTTTGTTTTATTTATGTTGTTTTATTTATTCCTGTGGAATATTACAAATTTGTATTTGTACATAAGATATATTGATAAATATAATCATAAATGCGGGAAGTTTAATAAAGCTTGAAAGTAAGAAATAATTCTTTTTTATATTTTTTGGTATGTGGTGTCTTGTTTTTGTTTGTTTTGTATTAACACATACCGTTTTTTATTAAACAAAATAACTCGATTACATTTTTTCAGTTTTATACAGTTTTTCTCACAATATTTTGAACACATTATGACAGACACATCTATCACTGTCAAGGATCTTCTCGTTGGACAGACTATAATAGCAACCTTTAAAAAAATTTAATATCATTAACTTGCGAAAGTTTTAAATAAGTACTCATTGATTGCTCACCAAAAAATATGAAAAAAGTTCCTAGGAACATGGATATGGAAATGCATAGTTTGAGTTAACTAATAGTATTAATATTAAATAATAAATTAGATCAAGTATATAATTTATTAATTTTATTAATTAAATTATCCAATAATTAATTAATATATTTATAAATTTGCGTTTATCTCATCAAGGAGACCGAATTCGACAAAATATCAAGAGATGACTTTTAATTGGCATTAAACGGCCTACACAATTTTGATATGAAAAGAAAAAAGTCAGTAGATGTTTTTTTTTTGAAAAATATTCTAGTGATAACCCATATGCACGCTCCTGGCGATTATGTCGACATTTTTTTAGCTTTAAAACATGTCACATTTATAATAACTTTTACCGTCAAATTTTTATTCGAAACGCTAAAAGTATTTGGAAGAAAATTATAATAAATCTAAAAAGTATTAAGACCAAACCAAACACCCTGTAGCTACGAAACAAAGCAGAGTCGGACCTATGTTGATATGAAAAATAAATCTTATTTTTAGGTGAGGAGTCTCCCCACGAGAGATGGCACATGTTTTTTTGAAACACCCTGTATAGTTTACTACAAAAATCATAAAAATAGAGTTAAAAACAAGAACAATATAATACTTTTTAAACGTTGCACTTTTTAAAAATATAGAGAGTGCTACAGGGTGTCCCCAAAAAAAGTTACATATCCAAATTGTGTTTTTTTGTAATGGAACACCCTATATATTAATTGATTTTCGTATTCTGAGAAAAAAATAAAGGTGAGTTTTATAAGAGAAGTATATGACTAAAATGTAAGGTTTTTGGCATACTTAACATTTTCTAGAAATAAAGAACAATTTTTAAATTACAATAAAAGCTACCTAAATTGGAATTTACCCGGTATAGCCTAATATGTAGTTAAATTAACTATTGTACTTTAAATTAAACTAAAACTTCATCCAAAAATTTATACAGGGTGAGACAAAATTAATATTGAACATTGGTCACCTTTAAAAGCATGTTACTATTTTATTTTAAATGGAACACCCAGTATATTATTCCGATATTCAATGGAGAATTCACGTCTCTTCAAAATATTATTAAGGTTGCCTACCTCTAAAATAAAGATTTTCCTAGATATTTTCATTTACATGATTTGATCGGAGTAGATCTTTATTATTTGATAAAATCTAAGGTGGCTGTGATATGTCTGCCGTTTCTTCAACATAGCTGTCTAATTAGTCCAACTTTAACAACTAGTTGTCATTTGGTGTCAGTTAAAACAAAAAAAATTAGAAATTTGCCGAAAATGCAAACTTATCCTACATCAGAAAGAATTGATATGATTCTATTAGTTGGTGAATAATAATTGAATACTTAATGCTCCCAATTTTATCTAGTCTGGGTTCTTTTTATGGGGATATGTTAAAGACAGTGTTTACAAAACTCGACCAACTATTGTCGACAACATGACATGAAATTATTATAGCTGCTTTTCGAGGTAGAACTCCACAGATGCCTTTAAATTGAAAAGACAATCATTTTATGTAGTTAACAGGAAATGAAGCATTTTGAGCATTCGATTTCATCTATCTAATTTTTGTCACATAATTATAAGTTTATATCTTGTTTTAATTCTCTAATAATTAAAATATGTTTTAAACGTGTAACTTTTTATTACCGTTGAGTATTTACTATACAATCTTTAATTTTTGTTAAAGCCACCCTGTATCTTTTTACAGCCACCCCTAGATTTTTAAAATAATAAAGATCTACTGGCGCAAAATCTTAAAAATTAAAATATCTAGAAAAATCTTTGTCTGAGGGGTAGGCAACCTTAATAATATTTTGAAGATATATAAATTCCCCACTGAACACCGGAATAATATACTAGGTGTTCCATTTAAAATAAAGCAGTAACTTTTGCTTTTAAAAGTGACTAATGTTACTTGACCATATTAATTTTGTCTTACCCTGTATAACTTTTCGGGTCAAATTTCAATTTGGTTTAACATACAATGGTTACTGTAATTAAATATCAAGCTATACAAGGTCAACTAAAATTTAGGTAGCTGTTATCGAAATTTGAAATTTACTCTTCATTTTCACAAAATGTGAAATATGTCAAAATCCTTAGATTTTAGGTATATATTTCTTTAATAAAACTCACCATTATTTTTTTCCTAGAATCCGAAAATCCCTTAATATAAAGGGTGAAAAAACACAACTTTGATGTGTAACTTTTTTGGGGAACACCCTGTATAATTCTATATATTTTTATAAAATGATTTCAGTTAACCAACATATGCTGCCAAAATTTCATCTCGATATAAACTACCGTTCTCCTTGGAGCTTTCGCGGCGTATGAGAGGCACCACCCTGTATACGTGTAGACATCTTGTTTTGACGAAGTTTTCTGGCAACCGTTCTGATGTTTCACGCCGAGGAAACGTGGGCCACAACAGAGAGCCGCCGCCGACGGGTCTATTGAGAAATCGGTTGTGCGTGGGGAGGCTGGGGGTGCGCGTGACGTCATCGGGGCTGTAGGGGCGGCGATCCCGGGGATATACTCCAAAATGAGCAGCGTTTTTAGGACAAGAATAGCTGTTCTATGTTTTTTTTTGTTGGAATAATCAAATTACAGGCTGTGTTTAAAATTATAGATTTTAAAAACATTTTTACATTTGTTTTGCGATTCACAGAGAAGTGTTTTGATCCTAAAATTGGTCATATGTCGAAAAATAAAATTTTAGAAAAAAAATTGGCGCCGGGAGGTACGCATAGCCCCCCATACTAAAATATGTTAATAAAAAGTTGGTAGGCACTTCTTTTAGTTTCAAAGTAAAGGAATTTTTCCAATTTTTTATCTCAAAAACTGCGACTTTGACGGATTTTGATGTTATTACAAATTTTGTTGCAAATATTATTCCTAATCTTAAATTGAAAACCGGCGTTTCGCTAGCTACTGTAATTTTGGAGTTACGATTTTTTAAAATTTTTAACCCCATCCCATACCCATTTACCAACCCCCCACCCCCACCAAAAACTAATGGCCAGATTCTCGGGTGCCACAGTATTTTTGTGCCAAATTTGGTTAAAATCGGTTTAGCGGTTTTTGAGTTATCGTGTTACAGACGGACAGACAGACACCATGAAAATATTTTGTATTTAGGTCATTTATAATCCGAATAACTCATTTTGAGTGAAATTAAAAAAAAAAAAATTTTGTCGATCTTAATAGCCTACCATACCTATTGGTATGGTCGGCTAAAAACGGGAGCTATTTGTTGATTTTTGTATCAAATGAACAATAATTCAGAAATACCGCGTCCTTACTCCTAATGTTGGAAATAGCCATCTTATCCGATAGCTAAGCAGCATTAAAAACGACCAACTTAGTGACCATCAATTCGAAATTGGCCAAAGAATGCCTAAAGAAGCTGAACAAATTAGGCAAAGAAAATAAAGTCTTTCTACTTTGGGTGCCAATCAACTAAAAGATAGAAGGTAATGAAAAAGCATACGATCTGAAACACTTCTCTAACTGAACCAGACCTTTTTTGCTTTCCCAGTGGAAACCAACTTAAAGCGGAACCCAGGAACGTGGAAGACTCTGTAACATGGAATGGGAATCCTCCAACCTCCCGGTCTAAGACATTCGAAGAAATTTCTCAGAACTTACGACTGGGAAAAATCAAAGATTTTCCTTGATTTAACCTAGAATGAACAATAACTGGATTGTTACGGGGTTTTTAACAGGACACTGTCTCCTCAGATTATGTGGGGAAAATGGGGAAACACCAGAACACCTCATCACTGAGTGCTCTGATGCGAAAACCATTCGTGCCATAAACTTTGGTACGACTGATATCGGAGAACTAATCTCTGTAAAACCGTCTACTGGTTCAACCGATACTGGTTTTTGTCAGAGCCCCGAGACTGTATGATGAGTTATAACTCAAGAAAGGGGGGACACAGTCCCGGTGATTAACTTCCCATAGCTTTCAAAAAAATTCCAGATTATAATAGTTTCTAACCAAATTTTTTCAAATCACTTTAATACATTCATACTTTAATACATTTAAAGTAGTTTTTGCTAATTTATATGTAATAGCTTTGAGACTACCGATCGAGACGCATTGATGTTGTTTTGGTTTGTAAATTTTGGTTATTGTGACTAAGAATATTATTAAAATCAGATCTGAACTATTTCTCTTTTGTTTCAGTCGGTGTGGGTGTGCATCCTCTGTCGCAAGAAACAAGAACTGCTGGGCAGAACCGGCCAGTGGATGCAGGTGGGGGTGACCACGGCAGGCACCGAGGCCGACATCATGACGCACTCCATGCAATCGGATAAAAGGCCCAAGCTGGAAAGGGCACATTCTGCCGCGGAGAAGGAGAATCAACCGCTGCAAAGGTAAGTCTCTGTTAAAAATTAAAAATTAATTCTCGTAAATAAGGCTGGGGTTTTTCGCCGCGGGAAGAAAGTCTATAAAATAAAAAAGTTATTTTTTGAAACGAAAACCATCTTGCGTTTCTTTAAGAAAATATTAAACTTAAACATATACAGAAATTTCTCCAAAGAAGTCCTATGGGTATTTCACCACTTTTTTACTGCCATTACTCGCTGACGAGTATTTGACACACATTAAAAGATGGTTACGCAAGGCGTTTCCTGTCATTAGCTTTTCTGTGACTGAAAAGCCCGATACGTGATGTTATCTATCTTCCGCATTCCGGAGATTCAAAAATCTCATTACTTTGTTCCCTCTTTACTTTTTGGTTGTCGCTATTAACTGAGTTTACAATTCTTCACCATTGAGTTATATTGTGTGCTGCTTCCTCCCACTGATGCTCTTTAAGTTTTCATGAAAAACATCCTTATCCGTATCTTTTGAGTTGTCCACCCGGTTTCCTCTTACCCTCTACAAGTTCACCGTAAAGAAGAGATTTCGGTAGGCGGTTTTCTTGCTATATAGATAGGCATCCTGCATGCCTGGCCAGCCCATCTTAAGCGAGATTTAGTAATAATGACTTCAGCGCTCTCGCCTTTTTAAAGGACTTTTACGTTGAGAGATTCTTAACAGTTGTCTAAGGCCCGTATTTATAGTTGCGTCTCGAGACGCCAAGACGGTCTTGGGCTCTCGAGAGCGGAATCCACAGAATACACGAGCAAACGTCATTTTGGAGATTGCGATTTTCATTTTGGAGATTGTCATTTTGGATAGTTTATGTGATCTGTGGATAGTTTCTTAACCCAACTTTTTTTGTAAACAAAGTAAATCTGATTAAACAGTTCTGAATATGTTAGCTCTGTTTGAAATAAAACTATAAAACATGGAGTATCGACTTTATATAGAGTGGTCAACTCAATAAGAATACAGAATTTACACCAAGCAATAAAATCTTGAAAATTATAGGTTATACGGTGTATACATCCAATATTGTATATTATGTGATATGATATTTATGTAAATATTCATGATGAAAATAAAAAGACAATTTTTTTAGTTTTAATGTATTAGTGGGAAAATTCTGTGTGATCAGTTAAAACAAGCACTTAGCTGTCTGGTCATAGTGAGTGTAAAACTACTAAGAAATCATATATTATTTAAGTATAGAAAAACAGTATTTTTAAGATAATTAATAAAAGACTATAAGGAATTACTTACAATTATGTTACATGTAAATATATAAATACTAACTTAACACTAATAGAAAAGTAAATAAAATTATTATATAGGTACTAGTTACCTTGGAACATTACTTAACATATTACATAATTACTAGATATACATATATTAATACAATAAATACGTTAATTTGCAAAATGTTGAATAAAATTTCTTCAAAAACCTAACTCTCTTCCTTTTTATTTATAATTGGAATGTGTAAATTAGCATCTTCAAAATTATCTAAATTTTCCCTTAAACTAATATTATGAAGAACAGCTGTTGCACAAGTAATAGCAACTGTTGTTTTGTAAACCTCCAAGTCCCAAATAGCCTTTCAACATTTCGCGTTCTTCTATGGGCAAAGTTATATCCAATGACACCTAAATCTTTATTTAGAGGTCATTGGTTATATCTGGTTTCTTGTTGATTACCTAGCTGTAGAACAGGAGTCAATAGAAATGGCCTACATCTATATGCATTGTCTCCAAGAAGTAAACCAGGAATATCACTCCTTTCCATTAGCATTCTTAAATTACTTGGACCGAATATAACACTATCATGACTTGACCCTGGATCATCTGTAATATCCATAATTTCCCTTTTAGGACCTGAACATTTAGACTAAAAAAACTTTTGCAATTTTGAAATACTTCCACATTATTGCATTATTCTTGATTATCTGGCTTATTGTAGGTTGGCTAACACCACGCAAGTCTCCATTTACCATCTGAAAATTACAAGTCGCATAAAACTGTAATCAAATTAGTAATTGAATAACGGGGAGAATGGGTAAACCACGATTGGTAGGTTTTTGCAAGTCTTCAATTTATAAGAGGCAAAATAGTTTCTGTAATTGTAGCCTTGTTAAACCTATATCGGCATAAATCCCCCCTCGCTAAACATTTCTATTGGATTTCCTGCATCCCGTATATATATTTTTGGAACTCGAAGACGATTTTCTTCTTCCACATGGTCCAAAATATCCTCAAACTCTTCTAACATATTCAAAACTGTTTAATCAGACAAAACGGATTTACAAGGTATTTACTTTGTTTACTAAAAAAGTTAGGTTAAGAAACTATCCACAAATCACATAAACTATCCAAAATGAAAATCGCAATCTCCAAAATGACGTTTGCTCGTGTATTCTGTGGATTCCGATCTCAAGAGCCCAAGACCGTCTTGGCGTCTCGAGATGCAACTATAAATACGGGCCTAAGGTGTCTCTGTGCAACTTGTCTAATGCACTCGTGTGCCAGCGGACGGCACCCAGGTTTCGCTTCCATATAACATGGTGGGGATTATTACTGCTCGATACACTGCAAGTTTCGTTTTTGTGCTCAAGTCAGGATTGTAGAAAACCCTGTCTTTTAATTTCCAGAATGCTCTTGAGGCGCTGCTGATTCTGTGCTGAATTTCCGTGTCAATATTTGCCTTTTCCGAAATCAAACCGCCGATGTAATTAAATTTCATCGTAAGATTTTTATAGCGCTGTTATGATTTTCCGGAGAGTGCACATGATTTTTGTTTTATCGATGTTCAGTTTAAGGCCCAAAGTCTCGTATGCCCAGGTATATGTGTTCAGCATTTCCTGTAATTACTGTAACGTATTTGCAACTAGAGCGCAGTCATCAGCGAATTGAAGTTCTGTGATGAATTTTATACGTGTTTTTGCCGTGAGTCTTTTTATGTTGAACAGACCGCCGTCATACCTGTATCTAACACCCATTCCGCTTTCCTGCAGTTTGCTGTCCACTATAATAGAGAGCGCTGCCATGAATATGTTGAATAGGAGAGGAGCTAGGACATATCCCTGCCTAACTCCTGTATTTGTCAGGAAGAGATCGCTCAGTGATCCATGATGTGACACTCTCGACTTGTTGTTGTTATGGAGGCTTTTACACACAGTAAGAAATTTGTTGGGCTCTACAAAACAAAATAGTTATTTTTTGTAAAAACTGCTGGGTTAATCCAACGTAGAATAATTGTCAGCAATGGCTTACTAATAAACAAAGCAAGTAGCCAATGAAATGAGTGGGCGGAGTGTTTTGCGATTTATAAAATATATTGCTGTTTATTTAAATGTTTTTTGTCCGCATTCCTTTCATAGACACTGATCCAGTAGACCTACTTTACTACGGACAATATGAACAAAGATTACTAATGATTGTAACATTTGGTGAATTATTTTTCTCTTAGCAATATTCTTTTCTGTTTTTATGATAAATTTGATTAAATATCGATGGAGTCTGATCCTTTGGGGTACTCCATCTTTACGTATTTAGTTGTCAATGCTGTAATAGCCCAAAGATAACGATTGTTTTTGAGATATCGGTCCTCTTGAATGGGGGTGCTTTAATTAAACTTAACTCGCATTTGCCAGACCCAAGCAACGGTCCGATAGCATGAATGAACGGCTTTTGCAGACGTTCAGTCCCAGATTGTGTAAATCCTAAAATAGGAATATAATATGGAATAGTACGAACTAATTTTAGAATCAAAGTAATACTACGGAGCGATCAACAACGGTTGAAATAGTTGGTAATACTCTCTTAGAGGATTTTTGGATTTAGTGGAGTGCCCAGAGACTTTTACCTCGGAATTCAATTACTGTCAATGTATTAATGTGAAACCTTCTGTATTGTGTTTTATAGATAAAACACTAAAATGTTTACCCATTTTTTTTTCGTTGCTTTTAATTTTTTATTTTAGTAATTTTAGTAAATTCTTAATTATGTCATTCTTAATATTTTATTTTTTTTAATTCTTTTTCTAAGTAAATTTATTGAAATAAATAAATATAATACATAAGCTATTATGCTTATATTCTAATCATTAAAATTTTGATTGAAATCGAATTATACAGGGTGGCGCGTCATATACGACGCGTTTTTGCAAGGAGAACAAAAGTTTGTATTGAAGTGCAATTTTCTGAGCTTATGTAAGTGAATTTAAAGTATTTTCTAAAATTATGTAGAGTTCTACAGGGTGTCCCCAAAAAAAGTTACATATCAAAGTTATGTTTTTTTGTAATGGAATACCCTATATATTAATTGATTTTTGGATTCTAGTAAAAAAATAAAGGTTTGTTTCATTAGAAAAGTATATGACCAAAATGTATAGTTTTTGAAATACATTCACCGGCACGAAAAATGGGCACCTTAATTAATGGACCGATTTTGATGATTTCTTAAGCAGTGCGTTGCCAAATTATTTGACTTTTTAGTATCTTTTTCTAAATTAAAAATGAAACACCCCATCGGTTAATTATACGAGGGAAAACAAAATGTTGATATTTTTGATGAAAGTTTGAAACACCCTGTGAAATATGTTAAAAGAGCAAGAAATTTAAAAATTATTTTATCATCTAGATACAATCTTTCTCAATGGTTTGTTTTTTGGTTCATCTCATTAGCTTTATTTTTGTTGGAAATATTCGGTTTTAAAGAAGGCACTAACATTTTTCGTAATTTTTACATTAAGACCATGCCTTGGCTTTTGGGCCTAGTCAACACATCTAGTAAGTTCCAAACCAAAGCAGGCTTTCTTGACATAAGATTTGCTTCATTTAATCTTCTTCTTGTAGTCTGTTAGTTAATATGTACGGTTCTTAAGTGCAATTCATTATCAATTTGAAAAGCTGGCAAACGGCGCACAGTGGGGTATTTGACACTGATAGTTGATCGAAATTTTTTTATGTAGACCTTATACAAATTATTGCTATTTTCAATTAAATGGGAAATAATATGAACAAAATAAAGGATAATTCGTCGATTCTAAAAAAAGAAAGAAAAATCACTGTTCCAGTGTTTCCACGGTCAGTGCCAGTAGTAATATCGCAACTACTACTACTAATGCTACGACTGATCCGCGAGCAATGCCCATACCACTAAAGTCGCTACTAATGCCAAATTGTGCTATACTGCTAATGGCACTAATGCGATCGCTTTGTACACAACAATGCCATCGCGGTTTACACCTCGCATTAGTATATCACTGATTGGCAAATTAGAGGAAACCAAGAATGTTTTTCTCATTTTATCAGCAAAATCGCAAAAGTCGCAGTATTTTATTTTACTGTATGAAAGCCCAATGTTTACTAAGTAAAACGTATATAGGCAATATGCTGAATTCTTCGAAATGCGCAACTAAATCTCTAAGTATAATAAAATGTCGCAAATTTAATCAAATTTTCTAAACGCCTAACTTTTAGTTGCAAAAAAATCGTTAGTATAGAGAATATCAAAATAAATAATACGTTTTTGTAGAATACATACCTGCAGCTTGCTGAGCCATTTTCAATCAAAATGATAATATAAACGTAAAAAGAGCACAAGAACAACAACAATTTATAATTTTAAACATAAAATTTAGCCATTTACCTCTTATCTGTGAGAAGTAACAACTTTGAAGTTTCGTTGAAACAAATGAATGCAACAAAACACACCCATAGCAACGCCATTCATGGCCGAGATGATTTAACTTATCATTTATCTTTTTTTTGGGAAATCTTGAACACATTTGCTTTTTCGAATTTCGATCACCTTTTTCATGCTAATACCCCACCGTGCGACGTTTTGTTTACATCTTCATCAGGTTTACATCTTCTGGTAAGCTGACAAATGGCGGTTTCTTAGCGATAAACTTACATTAAGTCGATCGTCTCGATTAGAAGTTCTTATACGATGGTTCTCCTGGACGTCTATTATTAACAATACAATGCAAAAAGTTTTATAAAAATTAGTTCACAGTAAATGAATTCCGAGGTTTGTATCTAATAAGGGCTTAAAGCACTCCACTAATTAGTTACATAAACAAGTAACGACAATTCATTGACTAGTTTTTTGTTTGTCTTTTCCTTCTCGTAAATTTGTTATTTGTAAAATCGACATATTCTAAAATGCAATATGACAATTTCATTTTGAATCAAATTTATACTCTTCTTTGCAGAGCCGGTAGTTTGCTGCGTAGGCAGTACTCAGAAGAACAATCGCGAGCGCCCTCATGCGAGAGGTACAAGCAGTACAATGAGGACGATCCGAGATATTATCAAGGAGAGTTGGAAGGACTGATGCTAACTCATCCACATTTGGTGCCTAGAATGTAAGTCACAATCATTTTGACTTTTTAGAACATTTTATGTTTTATTAGATCGTTAGAAGTGTAACATAGTCAAAACAAAAATAAATTTATGAATACGTACATTTTAAACATAACAAAAGCGCACACAGCGTCTATTTTTTTGATTTAACAATAAATAAATTATAATAAAGAAAAACTACTATCTGTTACTAAAAATACTGTACTGTAATATTTTCAGCGCTGGTAGATCTCGATAAGAGAAACATATTTTCTCTTTGCCGTTTTACAAGTAAATTCAAAATAACCGAGATATTTTAGTTTGAAAATTGAAAAAAAATATATTTTTTCGCGAAAAAAACCTCATGGACGTGTTTTTGTGGTCAAAATATACTACCTCTTAAAATATCTGCACTTATGTAAGACTCACCCTGTATATTACCAACACTGTACAGGGTGTGTCATTTTCGTGAGTTTTACGGGGTATCTCGCTTATGTGTAGAGATACAAAGATGCGCTTGTCATATCACTATGCTACTTTTTTATAAAACTAAAGATGCCACACATATTTGTCCTAGCCTTTGAATAAGAAGACTAAGGAAGAAGCATAATGCTATCCATGTATTCATGCATGGTGGGCGGAAAAAGCACTCTAGGGTGGGGATTCTTGACAGTTCTGTTTGACGATTTATTTGACACATTTGAATTTGATTTGAAATTTTGTGGATTTGTCAGTCTTTACGGAGCTTATTTTATGTTATTTATTATTTATTCTACTACTGATAATGGTATAAAGGTAGTAAATCTAGATGGAAATTGTGGCAGAACTTAAATTAACAGTGACACTATTGCGATTTATCGAAAAAGACTATAAAATAGTTGGTTGTGTAGCGTGCGGGAGATCTCGGCAAAAATTGAGTGAAATAATGGAACAACTTTTCGCTAGTAAGTGACTATATAATATACGTACGTGTAGTAAACCGATCATTTATGAAATTCACTTAAATTAACTAAATTATATATTTTTCTTGCATTTTAGCTTTTATTTATTACTTGTCAAAGATTAGATGTCAAAGAATTTAGATACGTTAATTTGACTTACCTGCTTCAGTAGCGTATCGGATGTTTGTGTTAATAAATACTTATTGTCTATTTTTATTAGAATTATATATTTTTATAACAATTTTAATAACTACCAACATTTATTCACAACGTAAAATAAAACAACAAATTATTGAGTTTACCCCACGTCTACCCTACATCATAGTTTTACATTTTTTAAATAAAATTAGAACGACACTGATAAACCGGAATTTAAGCCGGCCATATTTGAGGCCCATCGCGGTGTACCTAAGATTTTTGATATGCTCCCTCCTTAGTCTTCTTATTCAAAGGTCCTAGCCTTCTTACTTTCTGAAATACAGGGCGAAATTAAAAATGTTCTATTTTTTGACCCCCCTTCATATCTCGGTTATCTTATAACTTATCGAAAAGGTGAAAACGGAGCCCAGTAGACATTTGCACGTAGAATCCAGTGGTGTAACTAGTTTTTCGTTGGGAGTTGTCATTCTCGAAATATAACCTAAACTTATATTTTTTTAAATGGGACACCCTGTATATTATTTTTTCATTAAATTTTCCTTGTCATGAGCTTTCTAAAAACTATTTCGCCCTGTATTTCATGAACTAAGAGGGCTAGGACAAATCTGTGTGTAGCATATTTAGTTTCATAAAAAATAGCACAGTGATGTGAAAACCGCATCTTTGTATCTCTAGACATAAGCGAGATACCCTGTAAAACACACGAAAATAGGACACCCTGTACTTAATTATTTATAAAAAATGTCTATACCTATGTGGCGGATTCATCTCTCCAAAAAAAATCCTTTATGGGTATTTCGCCACTGCACTGCAAGAAAATCTACAAAATAAAATAGTTATTTTTTCTTGTCACAACCTAACGTCAACGGTTTCTTGTGGACGTATCTGTTTTAAAAAAGTAAAGTGTTCTCGAATAGTTGCATTTAAATAGTTTTTTTCTTTATACTTTTTATTTTTTTGTTTCCTACGACGGAAAGAGATAAATTTTCCGAAACGTTAAGCATTTTTTTCTTTGTTAGGCAAATTTGTATAACTGTAAACTAAACTTCTGACAAGCAGTGTCCGTTTAGGTTTAACGCAGAAGTGTTTACAAAAAAAATGACTATTTTATTTTGTAGATTTTCTTGCAGTGCAGTGGCGAAATACCCATAAAGGATTATTTTTACTTATTTATGATTAAACTATTAAAAAAAATTATGAACCGGTCTCAGACATACCCAAAAACGCCCTATGTGACAAATAATTATGACCTTTACTTTAAACTTCAAACAATCGCTGAACAGTCTTTAACTATGTTTTTGCCATTTGTTCCAGATATCCGGACCAAAATCCGGACAATCAGCAGGAGCTGCGCCAGGAGCGGTTGCAGGGTCAGGCCAGCGTGGGCAAGAAGCACAAACGCCAGACCAAGCACCAGCACCAGGCTGCTCCACCTCCTCCTCCTCAGGTACAGCTTCACTCCTACTCCAGTTCGGAGGAGGATCTGAAGAGTACCCCGGAATACGGGAGTGATGAAAGGGACAGCGAGAAAGGTTAGTAGTGTTTGATTTAGTGTTGACGGTGAATAGATATTTATATCAATAATAATGAGTTTTGACTATTTTAATTAATTTTTCCACGCTATACAAATTGATTCGTGCGGCTTAGAAAAAATATACAGGGCGGTCCAAACTATATTCTGGAAATTTCCGTAGGATAATATACAGGAAAAAAAACTAAGTAAAAAAGTTCGTATAAATGTATGTTCCAAAATGTTTAGATTCGGAGATACAGGGTATAGAAATTTCATTTTTATTTCGATTTTTCCAAATAATTTATGAAGTAACGTCAGTATTTGGATGAAAATTGGTGTCTGGGTTTTTTTTTTGACATGAGACATTTTATTTTGATGTCAATATGACTCCTGCCTGTAGAGGGCCCCACTCAAGGATACTATAGAGATAAGGATAGTTCGATTCTTATCTTCCTGTACTGTCAGTTTTTTCACGTCATCTAGGGACCGAGTTGAAGTTCGCGCTAAATATTTTAGACAGTGACAGTTATTTTTGCGTTTAACGGACGAGCGCACAGTGCGGCGGAAGATAAGTCTAGCGGGACAAAACCGTTCGGTTAGAAATAAGCCAAAAAATGTGTACTGATAAGAATAAATAGTAGACATTCCAATTGATATAAAAATGCATGAATTATTTTTTGGTCGTATATATTCTTTGTATGTCGGTACATTTTTATCAACCAAATTTGGTCGTTTTTTGCTCAGCAAGGCGGAGGTCATACGAAAACGAAATATGTACAAGTGCTTATACATTTTATTCCAAAGCCAAATTATGTTGTTAAGATTGCCAAAGGTATATACTGTACGTATAGTATTTGTTAAAATCCTTCGTGCCTTTGTTCTGCAGATATCAACCTTTCACTTTTTTTCAAATATCGATATATTGAATGATGTTGTCTTTTGATTTACCAATAGTTACCAAAAAGTAGTAAGCAATTGATGCTAGAATGTTTGTAGTTTCCATGCCCATATTTATTTTGACCGGGTGTTGCCAAATTGTTGAAAAAAACATGATTTTTAGAGTCTCGCACCAGTTCAGCTGCCAAGAATTATTTGAAGTCCTCAAGAAAAAAAGGCGTTTTAAAACTAACATTGAAGACTCGTTTGGCCGTTTTGTTGAATGTCGTGATACAATTTTTGTATCCCAACTCTCTAGGGATATCTACTTTTTAGTGGGGCATCTCGATGCGATGATCGCCGCGATGCATCCTACGCGCACTTACTCGCCGTTTTAAAACAGTGCTTCAAAAGCGCTTTGTAGGATGCATTGCGGCGAGCATCGCATCGAGATGCCCCTATGTTTGTACCCTTAGTGACGATGAAAGAAAGGTGTTGAGACCCATCTGCGATCATTTTATTTGGTTGTTATTTATTTTTTATTTATTTGGCAATAGTTTACAGTACGGTTTTTGTGTGTCATATACGAATAATATGATAGTTTTATTATGTTGTATTTATTTATTTACTAATAAATTAAGTTGTTAATAAATAAATAAATTTAACCATTTAGTTGCTATATATTAGATCATTTGCTACGTTCTTAGATTTTAAGTTGTATATTATACAGTCCTTGGGCCCCACCTACATATTTTTAAGTGGTTTGAAGAGTCGAACTTTTCGTCCTTACCTGTATAAGACTACTGAGCAAAAAAATATACATTTACGACATTTTTTGCGTAAATAACGTCTCTTGGTAAAAATCGCTGCCGAGTAATGGTTCTAACATGTTGACTAAATAGTTAGAGACTGAAATCATCAATTTGAAATGTTTTTGTGCCAAAAGTTTAAAAAAAAAGAAACTGTTTTATCATTATTTTTTTGCAGAAAAATTTATGATCAATTTAAAAAAATAAAAATTTCCCAAATTTATTATTTCCGTCAAATAACTATCTATGTACTCAACGTTTTTATTTTTGTACAAAGCGACATTTTTTACGTAAAAAATCACCGAAATGTATATTTTTTCACTAAGTAATTTTATACAGGTATGGACGAAAAGTTGTTACTCTCCAAAACAGTTAAAACACATGTAGGTGCTGCCACATACGAATAGGAATTATATTGACATCAAAATCAAATTTCTCATGTGAAAAAGCTCCCAGACACCAATTTTCATTCAAATATTGACGGTACTTCAGAAATTATTTGGAAAAAATCAAAATAAAAATGAAACTTCTACACCCTGTATCTCCGAATCTAAGCATTTTAGAACATATATTTATACAAACTTTTTTTGCTTATTTTTATCTGCAGAATATGCTGCCGAAGTTTCCGGAATATAGTTAGGACCACCCTGTATATAGGCAAAACATAAACAGACAACACGATAATAAGAGATGAGAATTAAATTATTTATAATTTGATTTTGCTTTCCAAATTTAGGATTTATTTTCGAAATTTTATTAGAGTTGTGGGTGGAGTGGGCATAGGTCAAAATTTTATTTAGAATAATCTCAGTTGGCTCCCCTGAATGTTATTATAGATATCCTCCTACAACTGTTTGGGATATGTGGACTAAATTCTATAAATATATATTTTCTATTTTGATAAATGTTGAGGTTTAATATTTATTTTAGAGTAATGAAATGACTCTCATATCCAAAAAAATTATGACAATTATAACATTTGCTTATTCCTTTCACCACCAACTACAACTCAGGTTGAAAATATAGATTTATTTATGCAGTTTTATGGAGTTTGATGGTTCAAGTTATTGAAGAGGTTGTTGCTCCCATTTGGTAGTTTACAGAACCCTATTCTCCACCTTCTATTGTATAACACCCAGAATTAATTTCTCAATTTTTTTAGTTTAACCCTCGTTTATACAAGATAGCATTTTTTTGCAAATGTTCCGTATATTCCTAATGACAAGGAGAAAATACACTCAATATACAGGGTGTTTCAAAAAACATGTGCCATCTCTCGTGGGGAGATACCCCACGTAAAAAAAAAGATTTATTTTTCATATCAACATAGGTCCGATTCTGCTTTGTTTCGCAGCTACAGGGTGTTAAAATCTTAATAATTTTTCGATTTATTTTAATTCTCTTCCAAATACTTTTAGTGATTTGAATGAAATTTTGAGGGTAAAAATTACTTTAAGTGCTACATATTTTAATGCTAAAAAAGTGTCGATAAATTCATCAGGGACGTGCATATGGGTTATCACTAGAATATTTTTCAAAAAAAACATGTCCGCCACTGACTTTTTTCTTTTAATGTCAAAATTGTGTAGACCGTTTAATGCCAATTAAAAGTTATCTCTTGACATTTCGTCGAATTCGGCCTCCTTGATGAGATAAACGCAATTTTATTAATCACAATAAAATTAAAATAAAAATGAAATTAATAAATTATATATATATTTTATCTACAACCGTTTAGTTATTCCGTTTTTACATCGCTATTTTTTCAGTATTTCAGTTACGTTATGAGATTCATAACACAACTAATGGTGTTATGAATCTATAACACAACTAGTTTTTGTAATAATGAAAAACAACTACGAACATCTAAATATATTAATTTTTGATACAAATTCCTACTGCTAATTATTATAAATATTAATAACACATTTTTTACACTTCTTCAAAACAATTCCTGCTGCTGCTGATGATGACGATGATAATAGTGAAGGTCTAACTGAAATAGATTGGGCTGTTGATCAGTTTGGTTCGCACTCGAGCTGGCATGCTTCCTCGCGATTCTTGATCCCAAAATGTGCTGCGCAACAATTTTCTTATTTTCTTTTGATGTCTAATCTGACAAATATATATGTGACAAATGTCATAATTAAAGGTGTTAAAGGTGGGCGACTAATAAACGAAAATTAAAACAGCATTTTCTTATTTTTCGGTTGTAGATAAAGCGTTGTACATGACACGTGCTAAACATGATTACAACGCGTGATTAGAACGACTCGGTCTACGACGTCGGTCGTCGTTCTAATCGTTCACACTCGTTGTTGTAATCATGTTCATAAACACACTTGTACTGTAAATAACTAGTATCTAATTTATTATTAAATATTATTACTATTAGTTATTATTACTATTAGTCCAACATACAGCAATTTCAAATAATAAAATTATGGTATTTAAGATAATTACAAAAAAAACTAATTTTAAAAAGTTTTAACATCCAGTTACTCTAAAACTATGCATTTCCATACCCATGTTTATAAGAACTTTTTTTCATATTTTTTGATGAGAAATCAATTAGTACTTATTTAAAACTTTTTCAAGTTAATGATAATACATTTTTTAAAGGTTGCTATTAGACTTGGATCAAGGCAAATTAATAAAATTGCGTTTATCTCATCAAGGAGGCCAAAATCGACAAAATATCAAGAGACAACTTTTAATCGCTACAACATTAAACAGCTTACACTCTTTCGATAACAAAAGAAAAAAAGTCAGTGGCGTACTTGTTTTTTTTAGAAAAATATTCTAGTGATAACCCATACCCCCCCACGTCCCTGGTGAATATGGCGATACTTTTTTAAAATATGTTGCATTTGTAGTAACTTTTACCCTCAAAATTTCATTCGAAATGCTAAAAGTACTTTGATGAAAAGTATAATAAAACGAAAAAATATTAAGACGTTAACACCCTGTAGTGAGGAAACAAAGCAGAATCGGACTTATGTTGATATGAAAATGAGAGATGGCACACGAGAGATGGCACATGTTTTTTGAAACACCCTGTATATTAAATATAAAACTTATGAAGAACCTCGAAATTAGTGAATTAAATTTGTGGTTTCAATTAGCGTAAAAGTTTGTTCCTCTAATTTCCATGTTTCAAGCATTCAAAACGTCAAAATTACAGGTAGTACTTTTCAGTTAGTAGAAAAAGTTAACAAACTTTTAAATTTTTCCACTAATTTTACTTAAAAATTTGCGAGTATTGTAATTTGTTTGTCCTTTGATTATCATCGAACAACAGACTTATTTATAACCAAGAGAAATTTTGGTCATA